CTTATGAGAAATGGTATCTGAAAGATTTTATTTCTTACGCTGGGTGTTGAATATGTGAGTGTTTATTATATGATTCTCTACTCTTTCGTGTGCCTGAAATATTTCAAGGGGCCAGAAAGAAAAGCTGCTATATATACACATTATGTCTTTTTTTTTTTTAAAAAAAAAACAGTTTTTCTTTTTGTTGTTGTTGTTGAAATTGTATTGGGGAACAGTGTGTTTTTCCAGGACCCATCAACTCCAAGTCAAGTAGTTGTTTCAATCTAGTTGTGGAGGGTGCAGCTCAGTGGCCCATGTGAGACTCGAACTGGCAACCTTGGTGTTATGAGCCTGAGCTCTAACCACCTGAGCTAACCGGCTGCCCCCTACACATTATGTCTTTTGCTCCTCATGAAACCCTGTGGCAAGGAAGTATTATTTGCCCCTCCCTGCCCTTCCAACCATCTCTGTAATTTTGAAGATGAAGGAAAGAAATTCCCAGCGTTTGGAAAAAATTATAACATGGCTAACATTCAGTTCTCTTTATATGTGTGTGAATTATTTTAGAATTATCGCAGCAGCACTCTGAAGTAGTTATGATATTGTCCCCATTTCACAGATGTAGCAAGTAAGTAAGACCCAGAGGGGGAGCAGCTTGCTGAAGTCACCCAGTTGCAGAGTGCTGGGGCAGCGGCATTTGAACTCACCACCCAGAGCTTCTCTGCCAGGGAGGCACAGAGGATAGGTGTTTAAAGAGCCGCCCTTGGACTAAACTTTCAGTTCTACCTCTTCCCAGTGCTATGGCTCTAGGCAAGCTCACCTCTCCGTGCCTCAGTTTCTCCACCTGTAAAATGGGGCTAATGATAGTAACTTCCTCTTAAGGATGAAAAAAAAAACAACTCTAAAGAACTCAGAATTGTGCCTGACACGTAGAAAGCACGACAAAAGTGCACGTTGATACTGTTTCTAATTATGCCTGAACGCTACACTTTTCAGACCTCTGGAAGGCAGACCCAGGTGACCTTCAAGTCACGCTATGACCAGCACTGCTCAGGGCTGGGTGGTGGTTGGGTGCTGGCTTCCCAGTTTCGGGGACCAGGAGACTTTCAAAGGGGCACATAATTTGGCCAGCAGATGAAAACGGATTGGTGATGGATTCGTGGACTGGGCACTCCCCCGCCCTCCCGCTTTTCAGCGTTTCCCCCTCACCATCACTCACTGGCTCTATAAACAGATTTCCCAGTAATCGGTTTTCCTTCCCTTTGAAGTCTCCCCATCCATTCTCTCCCCACTCTTAGCCTGCTCCCCTTCCTCTCCAAGGAGGACCTCATGTCGGCAACAGTTTCCAACCGGACGGGGCGGAGACGCAGTGCAGGCCGGGCTCCAGAGGGTCAGTTCAGTTCAATTCAACACATCTTTCCTGAACACCTACTGGGTGCCTTTGGAGAACTTTGCTGGGAAGGGAGGGACCACGAGAGAAGAAAGAGTGCTGACCAACCGGTTTGGAAGCTAGGCTTTGTTCGAGTGTTTCCTGGGGAAGTCCCGTCCTCTGGCTGAGCCTCAGTTTCCTTATCTGTAGAGTGGGGATCATAATAATGCCAACCTCACAGGCATATGGGATGAGCAGCTCTATACATGAAGCACAAAGCAGGTGCTCAGCTCATGGCAGCTGCATGCTTTGTTGTTGCTATTGGCGTGATGGAGAAGGAAGGGCTGTGAATGGTGTGCCGCTTCCGGGCTGGAAGATTTGGCGACTGGAGCAACCCTCTGCTGAGATGAGGAGCCCAGGAGAGAAATCCAGGTTTGGAGAGAAGGAAATCAGTCCCAGTGGGACCACACTGAGTTTGAGGAAGCAGAGTGCGGGCCACATGGAGATACCCAGAAGACATCTGGCAATCCACGTCTGCAATCTTGGGGCTCAACATCATGGCATAGTCCTGATTCCTGGGATCTCTTGACTCCCGACTTTCCCAGGGACCACACAACCCTACTCAGAGAAGCTTAGGGTTCATGGAACCGGGGGAAGCGTCCCTCCAGCCCCCACCACTGTACACACACAAACACACACACACATCTCTGAGCCACGTTCCAGGACTAAGTCACTCCAAAGGAAAGAACCCAGTTCATAAACCGACCGACTATCATCCCCTCTTCACTTGAAAACAAAATCTAGCCTCATTCTCAAACTAGAGAAGGCACGGAAGTGATGTCTCAGCGAGATTTCATTTTGGAGATCGTACGGCGCACTTGAGGTATATATAGCTCACACACATGACACATGGCCAGTACCCAAAAATGGATCTGCATAGTACTCAGTGGATGCCAACTACATGGTCCAGAAGACAGGGGTGGTCTCTGGGTGGGCGGGGCCCTTAGCTCAAGGGTCTCCTCAACCCATAAGCAGGGTGTGGCTGGAGAAGGGACAAAGTGGGGCTCTCCAAGGACTAGCACTCAGAGCAGCCCCTCATACCCAAAACTATGGCTCTACTCCACATCTGGATATGCGTGTAGCCGCCATCAACTAAAAGCCATCGTAAAGCTCATGCACAGAGTTTAGAGAAACACATCTTAATGGCCATCTACACTCTGATTACATGTGAAAAATCATGACTGCACAGGGACCAGAGGGCAGGAAAACTCAAATATTTGATCAGTCGCCATGGAGAACGGCCAGCCCGTTTGCTCTTTCATAATGTGGTGATGTCTTTCTACAGCACCCTTCAAAATATTTTTTTAATTCTTTTTCGCGTTCTGTGATGACTTTATTAATTTCATAACAATCCTGAGGGATCATTAGAAAAAGAACTTCTTGGAAAAAAAAGTCAATCCGAGCCCTTTAGCAAAATGCTATCGATATTAAAAAAAAAAATCGAAGAAACAGAAACTAAAAGTCGACACGCTCCCCTCCTCGTCCCATTCCCAAGAGATGTCCGCCATCGCCACGTTGGGTCACCACTTTCTCGCCCTTTCTCCATGTGCGATGCATAGGGAAGTTTAACCAAATGCGTGCAATAAATACAAAAGGTTTAAAGAAAAAAAAAAAAAGTTCCTGCCGGTTCCACAGTTGTGAGGGAGAGACTCAATTGCCCATAAACATGTGTACTTGGAAAATTCACAAATGAATATTGGTACTTTGATGCATTGCTTCAGAATTTATTGAGTGTCTGCTCCACGCAAAGCAGCATGTGTATTTATTTGTGTGCAAAAGAGCAAAAAAGGCTGGTGAGGTCGGCCCTCCTTGCTGGTGTGGCCCACTTCCATGCACGCGGCCTGTGTAATGTGGTCGTCCATTTTTTATCTCAATTGCTTCCTTACCCCGGGGCTGCTGGTAGCTGTTGTGGGTGCACCCAAGCTCCCTTCCTGCCTTTGTGGGACTCCTGACTCTTCCCCCCCTCCCTCTTTGGAGGGTTTATTTATTATCTGTGGGGCAGTGTATTGTTTGGAGATTCTGGTTTTTATTTCTCTGCTGGCTTTGACAGATACTCAGGGAAAGGGGGGGGGCCCCGCAGAGAGAACGCATTTGGTTTTGTTTTATGATATGCCGTGGAGGCTCTGTTAAATTCTCAGAGGCCTTTGGGCCTGGAGGACCGCGTGAGTGAAAAGGCAACAGTGATGGTCAGGAGGGTTTGCGGTGGGAGTCGTGATGACACAGAGGTGATGGGAATTACAGGGCTGGGTTCAAGGAGGGCATGAATTTTAACGGTGCTAATGATATGCAAAGATGGGGGTTTGCTAAGGGGGAGTTACGGCTCAGGAACTGAGTGCTCTGCCTCCGAGATCAGGCTGCCTGCTTTTGACTCTGGGTTCCACCACTTCCTTCCTCCCTGTGTAACCTGGGGCTAGTGCCTTGGTCTTTCTGAGCCTCTGCTTCCTCCTCTGCAAAAAGGGCGTGATCATCGCAGCATTTGGGGGGACTGATAGAAAGCCCACAGCACTGGGCTTTTTTATATTCTTATAAATATAAAATATAAAAAAATCTTTTCTGCGGCTTCCAGGTGCACTGCATCGCCTTTGTGACTCTGCTGGTGGATCAGCAACTTAATCTCTTTTTATGGATTAACCAACTTTTCTTAAACTATGTTATGCCTCTTGGAGCAAGATTTGACATCCTTGCTATCGTGAACCCAGCATGTCCCAAATCAAAATCACTTCTTTCTTTCCTCGCTCTGCCCAAACCGAATGCGTTCTAGGATTTCTCTAAAGGGGCTTAGGGAATGCATCACTAATTTCAGCAGTCTCCAACCTCAGGGACACAGAAGAATCTGCTGGGGAGCTTTTTAAAAATGCCTCGTGCCCAATGTGAAAATTTGGGTTGAGCTGAGTTGGTGTGATCGAACAGTTCCGACTGGGCAAAGCTCCCTACAGGTGATTCAAGTGCATGGTCAGGGTTGAGAGCTGATGAGGTGCGCAGCTGCTCAGGTGTGGAAACTTCTCCTTCCCCTTAGCTCCACCCCATTCTTGGGGACCCTGTTAAACCCACCCCCCCAGATTCGTAACTGTGGCCTTTCTCTCCATCTTTGGCTCCAATATTCATCACTTCCCACCTGGACTGCTACATAAACCTCCCTACTGGCTTCTGGGCTTTTAGCATATCTCTTGTCAATTGTCAAGCCATCCACCCTTCTAGCCCCTCAAGGTTTCTTCCATTGCAGGCACCTGAGCACAGCACTTAATCCCCCAGTGGTTTCCCATTACCCATAGGCTTGAGTCCAACTGCCCAGTCTTCACTTGGAACCCCTTCCTTCCTGGGCTCAGCCTGCCTTTCTAACCTCATCGCCACCCTCCTCTCCTGCCAGACCATCCACTGTTTGATCAAGCTCTTGGTTCTCCTGCTCTCGCTGGCCTCACCTAACTGGTAAACTCTAGCGCACGCCCCAGAGCCCAAGCCCCCATCCACCTCCCGGGCAATATGGATTGCTTCCTGGGGACTTTCCAGTCTAATGTGATACATGCTGTTGAAGTCTGTACAGTATGGTTTTTATTTACATATCCATCTCCTCCATTTGCCTTGGGAATTCCTCAAGTTCAAGGACAGGGTCTTATTCATCCACATGCTTATTCATCACCCGGGAGGAGCATTTGTTGAGCAGAACACGCTGCATCGCCACCAGCTTTGACTCTGCGGCTGATTCTATTTTCCAAGGGCTGCCACGACAATATCCTTTGTCCTCCATCTTCCTCTGCAGTGCGACCTCGCGCTCTCGATCATGAGTCTTGTTTTTCTTCTCTTGAATCCGGGCAGGGTTTTGACTGCTTCTTCCAATGAGATGGGGGTAGAAATGACATGTGATTTCCAAGGCCAGGACAGGAAAGTCAATGCCACTCCAGCTTGGTTCCCGGGATACTTCTGCTTGAACCCCTCAGGCTGCTACATCGTCAGAAAGTCAGGCTACATGAGGAGGACAAATAGGGGTGCTCTGTTGACAGTCCCAGCTGAGCCTAGCCTCCCAGTGGTCCCTATCCAGGCACCAGGCATACGCAAAGGAGCTTCCGGAAGGTTCCAGCCTTAGCCATCAAGTCGCCTCTGGCCAGTGGAACCTTCCCAGCTCAGGTCTCAGATATTGCAAAACGGTGATAAACCATCTTTACTAAGCCCAAGCTAAATTCCGGACTCTCAGAATCTCCAAGCACGACAAGAGAGTTGTTATTTCAAGCCGTGAAGTCTTGGGATAGTGTGTTATGCAACAATGGTATCTGAAGGACTCTGTTTTTTCCTTTGTAAGATACACAGCCCTGTACTGGCCTTTCTGCCTCTCAACCATCCCTAGCTGGTTCCCACCTCAGGGCCTTTGCCTCTGCCTGGAACGGTCTTCCCTGATTCTTCCCAGGGCTGCCTTTTTATCAACATTGAATTAATTCAAATGTATTTTATATAATACATGTTAAATAATTATAAGCATATAAGTAATATATACTTTATGATGTATTATAAACATATAAAAATGTTAAAGCTTCATATAATAACAGCCAACAAGCTCCTGAAAAGATGCTCACCATTACCAGTCATCAGTGAAGGGCTATGCACACACTCAAATGGCCCAAAGTAAAAAGTCTGACCATCCTGAGTATTGATGAGTAACTGGAATGCTCACCTGTTGCTGGTAGGGATGCAAAATGGTAGAACTGCTTTGGAAAACAGGTTGGCAGTTTCTTGTAAAGGAGTACATAGAGTTACCGTATGAGCCAGCAATTACACACCTAAAGATTTACCCAAGAGAAGTGACAACATATGTCCACGCAAAGACATGGACATGAATGTCTGTAGCAGTTTTATTCACAATAGCCAAAAGCTAGAAACAACTTCATGTGTCTATCAACTACAGTATGGACAAACACACTGTGGTACATCCATACGGTGGAATAGTATTCAGCCATGAAAAGGAACAGGCAGGTGAGACTTGCAACCACATGGGTGAATCTCAAGAGCATTGGGCTACGTGAAAAAAGCCAGGCACAAACGACTACATACTACATGATTCCATTTATGTGACATTCCAGAAAAAGCAGAACGTTAGGATGGAAAATAGATCAGTGGTTGCCAGGGGCTAGGGGAAGAGAAAACGGACTGTAAAGGGATTCAAGGGAACTTTTGGGGGTGAGAGATATGTTCTATATCTTGATTGTGATGGTAGTTACACAACATGTACACATGTCAAAGCTCATTGAACTGTACGACTATCAAAGGTGAACCTAACATATGTAAATTTAACTCAATAAACCTGTCTTTAAAAAAAAACACAAAAAACTTTCTTCTTTCAAGAAGGCCTCTCCAGCCCCATTTTATCTAAAGGACATTCTCACCCACCATGATCCTCTCTCACATAATTTTTTTTCTGCATAGCACTTAACAATTTCTAAAATTTTACAACATATATATAATTTTATTTGTAATTTTATGCAATTTTATAATATATATTTATAGATAATATCACATATATAATTTTAGAAATCATGAAGTTCTACAAGGTGTGATCAAAGAATACAGTGAATGCTGCTGCCGAGTGCCATCCAACCAAGGGCAGGGATCTTCAATATGTGAAGCGGCGTGTCGAACCTTAGTAACAGTGTGTGACAAGTTTCAACTTGTTCAGTGCAGTCCGTCGAGTGTGAGCTATGGTTGAGAGAAGATGTGTTTTAAAGTGTGCAGTAAATCATCCTCCATCATGACAATGCTCCGTGTCGCACATCACTTCTGGTATATGGCAAATTCTGTCAAACAAAAAACGTTACGGTATGTCCTCATCCACCTTATTCACCGGATCCGGCACCATGTGACTTCTGGCTCTTCCCCAAAGTCAAAATGACCATGAAAAGTTAACGTTTTGAATCAATTCAGGACATCGAGGTAGCCATGACAGTGCAACTAAAGACACTCACAAAAGAGGACTTGCAGAACTGCTTCAGAAAGTGGCAAGAATGATGGGATAAGTGCGTTCAAAGTGAAGGGGAGGGGGCCGGCCAAGTGGCTCAGTTGGCTAAGAGCTCGCTTAAGAGTTTGAGCTTTGAGCAACAGCAGTTCAAGTCCAGCCCAAGCTGAGCAGCCACTGAGCTGCCAACAGGTAGCAGGATGGCTCAGCTTAAAAAAAAAAAACAAAACCAAAGTGAAGGGGAGCATCTTGAGGGGTATTAATGGCAATGCGTCTTTTACTGTAATACATTTTTTTATTTAAACATTCACCATATTACTCAACACACCTTGTATGCAGAAAACAAAATAAAATCATGTGAGAGAGAATTCTATTGGGTGAGGCTATGTGTGTGTATACAGATAGATATACTTTTCTGCATATACATTTCTAAAATAGTATATATAATTTTAGAAATTATTAAGTACTATGCAGTCTATGTGTGTGTATATACACATTATTCTTTACTTGTTTACTGTCTAGATCTTTCTCTAGAATGGCTCCCGCTCCAACAAAGGAATAATATCCATCAAGTTCGTTGTTTTTCCCCTCGCTCTCGCACACTGAGTGCACATAATAGATGCTCAAAATAAATATTTCTTGAATTAATCTACAGGAAAACAAAGGAGCTTGGGCGACCAGATGTAGTGACCTAAGCTGTATGGAAACCCATTTTTGAATCGTGAACTTAATTACTTCTGGACTCAGCTCCTTTTCAGCTGGAGCTCACCCTCTGCCAGAAGAACCTACAGCCCTTTCGGAAGAGCCAAACGTGGGTGACGAGAATTGCGGAGTGGCCTGGGGTCAGGGGACAAGATAAGAGCTTTTTCCTGGATGGATCGGGTCAGAGAAGGAAGCTCCCCCCGAGTCCCCCCAATGCGTGGCTGCGACATATGTTCTGATCAGGTAATAAAAGCTTAGTCAGAAGACTTGCGCCCTTTGGGTTTCATTTTATTTTATTATTAAAAACTAAACATGTGGAACACAGATAATTGGGTTCTGCAGGAGGCTTCCTTTGGCTTCTGCATCTGAGGAATTTAATGAGGGAGAAAACAGAGGGAAATATATACATCGCTATTCAGTATATTTGGAAGGGTTGAAAGCAAAGTCGTACTTCAAAGGATTTATTAGGATAACCTCTCTGGGCAACTTGTGATCAGTAATGCTGCCTGGATCGCATAGTGTGGCCTTTTTAAAGGATTTGGAGGCGGGTGGGGGATTGTAAGATTTTTGTTTTTGTTTCTTTTCAATTAGTTTTCAAAGGAAGAGGAGAGCAATGGTAGAGCCAAACTTTTAAATGTCCTTCATGGAATGGTCAGAATTGAGTTTCAAGCTTTAATGTGCTCCAAGGGACCCTAATACAGGCTGGAAAATAATTATTTTCCAAGCTTCAGAGCCCCCTTGCCCCTCTGTCTGCACTGTCCCGGACTAGTTAAGTCCCCACACGTGGGGCATGTTGCCCCGTTAAGTGTCCCCTGCCCTTGCTTCTCTCAGCATTACGAAGGGGCCAGGTTCTCCATTCAACACTCCCAGGGACCATTCCAAGCCCAGCGTTTAGCAGAGTCATTTAAAAGAGCGTCGCCCTCGGGAGTTTGAAAGGGTGAGACAAACCGTGGTTCAAGTTTAGCTGGGTTCCCCGGCTGCGTCAACGAGGCAGCAGCCCCAGGCGCTCTTTTTTGTGTCTGTGTCTTTCTCTGTGTTACGCTGGAGAGATTCATCCGCGTGTGTGCAGGAGGTGGTCACTGTTTCACTCGCAGAATCCTATTCCTCTTGATGGCTCTATGGCAATATAATCAGGCACCTAGGCCCCTGCCCATGGAGGGCTGCTAGCAAAGACGTTGTCACGAAGGTTCTTATACGTATCCATGTAAACGTGGGCACCGCTTGCCCTTGAAAACCCTGCACCTCCTCCTAGCCCAGGAGTCCAAAACCCTTTTGGGGTCGTGGGCATGGTGGATAATTTGAGGAGGCAGAGGTACAGACATACACAGTATTGCATACCATGTTTTGGGGGCTTCAAGGAGGTTCTAGCACATGCGGGGACCACCTCAACAACCTCGGCTGGACTGTGATCTGGCAAGGGAGGCAGAGCGGCCTTCTCAGTGGTGCAGGGCAAGCTGTATCTCTGTCGGGGGGACCACAGAAGGGAAGGTGGGTTTCCCTCCAAGCCTGCTCCTGAATGCCTTTGTTTTTCCCACCTTGGTGCTGGGAGGATTCCAGCCCCAGAAAGGGAGAACCGAGAGGTTGGTCTCCCCGGCAGAGCCCCAAACCCCATGGCGCTGCGGCAAAGCCCGCTCCGCTCTGTGTGGATGTCTGTGTTTGCACCAAGGGCGAGGGGAGGCCGCGGCCAAGAACAACCCATAATTCTGTACACAGCAGATTGAGTTTCTTGCAGAATTTGCTCCCAGAGGAAACGTCTGCCATGGCAGGAGTTGAGCGTGGCTGGGGCCTCGGAGAGTGGGTAAGCTGTGTGTGTCAGAAAGCACCCACTACAGGGTTCGCAGACTAACGCAGGGAGGTGTGTGTGGGGGTCTGGGGGGGGGTATCCACGGTGGGGTCCGGCCTTACCAGGGCAGTGCTACTCACAGCCCTGGGCCAGAGGGTCTCCACGCTTTAGCGAGCTCTGTTCTGCCTCTTTTCTGAGTATGCCCCTCTCCCAGGGGCAGGGGCCACATCCCCCCTAATACCCCCATGGTCAGGGTACCGGAAACTGAGACTTCTGCCCATATGGGTGCCAGCCTGCGTCCAGATCCTGCGTGGTCCTATCCCCTGGATCTGTCACTGGAGGGTAAATCTCCCCAGTTTCATGCTCACCCCTCTGCCTGGGGGGTGGTCAAGGGGTGGCTATTTGCTGAGAGGATGTGGGTGAGGCTTGGCCTTACCGGCTGGGGTGTGCACACACGGGCACGGAGCCTGTCTCGGTAAAGACAGGCTGCCGTGAGAGATAAAGGGTGTCAGCTTGGGACAGAATGCGAGTCCACTATGGTCTCCCAGGTTATTAGAAAGACGCGCTTGTCAACTTGTCGGATGATAGAACACGTTTCATTAATACTTTGCCAGCTTGATGATAACTCTGAAGTTCTCAGAGTGTGTGGACTTTGATTTGTACCCTTGTCCCGGGGAGCCTCAGTGCTAGGGATGAGTCTGCCTGGGTGTACAACCCGATGGATTTTTTTTTTCCCCTCTGCCTGGGAGGTGCAGCTCAGAGGCAGAGGCAGATGTTTGCGCCCGCCCCCCCTCCCCCAGTAGCAGCTTCCAGGGAACAAGTGACCTACCTGATCCAGTCCTATTGACCTAGCATCCTGTAACTCTCCTGGGGGCAGCGGGGAACTCAGGCCTCCCATCTCCAAAGACCTAGAAAGGACGTGGGAGGGGTCAGTCCAGGGGATCCAGTTCCAGCTCTGGCTTAGCCACTCTTAGGTCGGGGTCCATAGGACAGCTTGGTCACCCAGGATGCTGTGATTCTCAACCTGTGTCTCTCTCCCCGTTTCTCTGTGTGCCACTCATTGTCTGTTCTCCCTCTGCTTCTGTCAGCTTCTGTGTCACTGTTTCCCTGTGTCTCTGTCTTCTCCTCATCACTTCCTCTCTCTGTGTCTTTCTTGACGCTCATCCCCCTCTGTTTATCTCTGTACATCTATGTCTGATGCAGCCGTTCTCAACCTTCTTAATGTTGCGACCTCTTAATACAGTTCCTCATGTTGTGGTGACCCGCAACCACAAAATTATTTTCGTTGCTACTCTATAACTGTCATTTTGCTACTGTTATGAATCGTAATGTCAATATCTTTTTGTTTTCCGATGGTCTTAGGTGACCCCTGTGTAAGGGTTGTTCGACCCCCAAAAGGGTGGCGACCCACAGGTTGAGAACCGCTGGTCTGATGCACCTTCCATGTTTCCTAAGCCGATAAATCTCTCAAAGCCTTTCCCCCAAAACTGGCCTTTTGGGGCAGCTGCCCTCAGACACCCCAGAAATCTCTGTGCCCATTTTGCCTCCCTCTCTCCTGCAGCACCAGCCCCAGGCTGCTGGAGAGGAAAGTGACAAAGTGAGCTCAGCCCTGCCTGGGCTAGACCAGGCACCCACTTTCTCCTGCCCAGCCCTGGGGCGCCTGGCCATCTGGAGGGCTTCAAAACAACAATTAAGAACAATTGGAACTAGGTTTGCCATGACTCCTAAAATTTGTGTTTCAATCCCCTTGGCCCCAGGGGCCCCCTTGGAGAAGACTGGAAGCTCCCTGCAAAGAACCGAATCTGTTTTCCGGGCCTCCTGCGGTGCCTGTCGCCTAAAGAGGTGCTTTTGGGCACCAGCCAGGGTGGGGTCTTACCGATTTGATGCCTAAGGGGAAGGGAGGGAGACAGCCGATTTTAGAAGCCCCCTGCCCTAGCACCTCGCTGCCGGAGTGTGGGTCTTGGGGACCAGAAGGAAAGGTCTGGGCAAGCGGGCATCACCAGCCCGAGGAGGTGGCCTCGCTGGAAACAGAAGTGCGGGCGGTGCTTCCAACGCGCCCCGGTTTTCACGCTCCGAGTCCGGGGCCACACCCGACTCCCCCGCTACAAGTGGTGCCTGCCAGCTCTTTGCCTTCTCCAGAACGTAGCTGGATTTTTTTTATTATTATTATTCCAAATAATAATTTTCAAAAATTAGGTCAGGATTACTCCAGGCAAACACGTCTCATCCAAAATTGAAGTTGGGGACGGTTCCATTCCAATGCAAATGGCCGAGCAGAGGGTTTTGCAAAACCTTCCCCGAATTGCGCAAAAAAACGGTCCCACTCGGCCTCCTGAAATTGAATGCAAACGTTGCACGTCCCTAACGGGCTTTTTTTTTTTTCCCCCTGGGGGAGAGGGTCCACTGCTCTCATCCGATTTTCAAAGAGCTCCCAGGAACCCACCACCACCGCGGAGAGGGTGAAAAGGTTACCAATCGGCACAAAGGTAAGTTTTCAGAAGAAAACGTCGCTGTCTGCCCACCCCTCTTATTTTTTATCTCCCCCGCCTCCCCCTCCTCAGCCCACCTCCTTTTTCCTTTTGCAACTTTTCTTTGACATTTCAAAGCCCCCTCTCCTGGTTTCGATTTGAAGCTCCCGGATAAAATCGATCAATTTCAAAAGAGGAAGGATTCCGGGTCTGGAATTCAAAGTCCTCCCCCTTGGGCGAGGGCGGAGCTGGAGCCTGAGGCAGGAGAGCCGAAAGACTATGCTTCGGCCCCTCATTCCCCCGCTGCTTCCACCCCCCCACCACCACCNCCCGAAAAAAGGGGGGATCAAAGAAAAAGGTTTAGAGGTCTTGGCGAGGGAGCACTCTGCACCCAGAACGCTTGGGCTGGGGGGAGCCGGTAGTTGAACTTGCCCGCCCACTTCCCCGCAGGAAACTCCCAAATCTTTTTTCTACCTGCTTCTGCGACCTCAGGTATTTGAAGAAGCCAGTCCGGCAACTTTAAAGGCCTGCGAGGTGGCCAAGGTCATAAACTGGAAGACAGAAAGCGACTCTTGGAGCTGAGACCTAATTCCTGTTTTATTGATTAAGGAGAGGAGCCTAGATGGAGTTCAAAAACAAGATGGAAAGTTGGAATGTCCCACCCAAGTCCTCTTTAACCCAAGTCCTCTTCAGCCTTCCAAACAGCCTCTGTGCTGTTCACCCCAGCTCACCTCTGTGGGGAAGGGGGGTGCCCAGAGAGGGAAGGTGGAAATTTATGGCTGTAGCCCTACAGGAAATTCAAGGGGCTAGGCTAGTGGGGGCAGCATTGAATCTCACTCCCTTTTGCTTACCTTGTGAGTTGCAGGTGAGAGGGGGCTGTCCTGATCACTGGGGTTTTTTTTGTTTTTGTTTTTTCCTTTATTTAAAATGTTGACATTTTGTTCATCTTGGACCTTTTTTGCATTCATTTTGAGTTTTTAAAATATATTGCATCAAACTATGATTTACCTGGATTAACTGAGATGTTTGCCCACCACCTTAACGGCTGCACCTGGAGCTCACTTTGGTCCCCTCCTTGGTTGGAGAACATGTGGGGATTGGGGCACTGCAGAGAGAGGCCTGGGCACTCAGGAATTGAAGGAAAGAAGGGGACAGGGGAGATATTGAGGGTGCTGAACTTGTTTTCTGACTGGGGCCACTGGTCAGATGAAGGCAAGTGAGAAATCTCATTTTCCTCCTCTAGGATGTGGCACCATTCCTTGTGACATCTCTGGCTGTGATTGAGAGCAGGGAGCTTTGACCATCTGACGTGGGGTCAGAGGCCTGGATTTCGTTCCTGGGAGCTCGAATCAAACTTACTGTGTGGCCTGGGGCAGGCAGGCTGTGCTGTGCCGAGACTGTGGCCTCCTTGGAGAAATTTTTTTTTTTTAATGGAAAAGACCAGCCAGATACATCGAGAACATGTTAAATAAAGCAGTTTTCCAAAATGCTTTTTGGCTCATTCATGTTTTTTTTTTCTTTCTTCTTTTTTTTAATCCCCAGAAAGCCTCCATTTTATTAAAAGGCTTATAATAATGGCTAAGATTTATGGAGTGTTCACCCCAGGTCAGACACTTTGCCAAGCACTTTCAAAGTATTATCTCTTTTAATCCTCACAACAAGTCCAGGAGATAGGAACTATCTGAGAAACTGAGGCCCAGAGAGGGGAAGCAATTTGTTTAAGGTCACACAGCAGCTGATAGGTAGACTTCAGAGATCAGGTGAGTTTCCTCCAAAGATCCAGTTCTTCTTCTTCTTCTCCTTCTCCTTCTTCTTCTTCTTCTTCTTTTTTTCCTCAAAGATCCATTTCTTAAGTGGAACACATTTGTGAAAATGTTGCTGCACTTGCATTTAAGGAGACTTAAGAACAGAAGTGTGGGGGAATTCAGAGAGGTGAGGCCACTTGCTCAAAGTCACACAGCCCAGGGAGCTTGCAGGAGCTGCCTGGGCTCGGCATTTCTGGATCATCTGCATGCAGACTGGCCGTCCTTGCCCTGCTCATGTCCCCTAGAATGAACTAAACCATCATCCAAAAACAGCTGCTTTTTAGCCAGTAACAACCTAGGCATAGACCCTGTGTACCAAAGGCGTTTCAATAAGCCACAGATCCTCAAGCTGAGAGAGAAGGCTCTGGAAGTCTGGAGTCATGGATGGGGGATGGAGCAGACAGAAAACTTAAGGGGAGAAACTGGGCAGAGGAATTGTTGTGATCCTGCCTAAAATTCCAGGAAAAGAAAGGATGCAATGATTAGAGGAATGGTTACAGCAGCGTGAGCATCATAGAGAGGAAACCATGCTGGTTGGTCCCCATTAGTAGCCTTTCCTATCTCTAGAGTATTTGTTGTTGAAGAAGAAACAGCTGTGAAGTTAAAAACACTTCCTGAGTGAAGCAACCCTGTGTCCCACAGAAGCTGGGGACATCTGACTTTGTGTGATGCCTTAAATGCAGAAGTAAACGAGACTTTTAGCTTTTCATATAAACCACTCAGGGGAGGCATGTTTTGTTTTGTTCTTTTTTAGGCCTGTGAGATTTGGAGTTCTAATTTTTGGTTTAAAAAAACAAGGCCATCAGAGATCCAATGGGCAGCTGGAAATGGACGACCTATAAAAACTCTGAAATATTTTTTTTCCTGTTGCTAATGATAATAATAGCTGTGAGGCATAGAGGGCTTACTCTTAAGTGCTTTTAACACATTTTCTCCTTTTGTCTTCACTGCCACACCTCTGTGATCCATTAATCAGCCTTGCCTTTTCACCTGTGAAAAAACGGAAGCACAGCTAGGCTACGCTATTCACCCAAGGTCACACAGCTAGTAAATGAAAAAGCTAGGATTCAAACCTGGGTTTTGTTAAACTCCAGACACCATATTCTTAACCCATTCTGGGAAACTTTTGACCGGAGGCAAAGCTGAAGGAACATACTAAGCTTTTTGCTAAGCTGCCTGGGAGCCTCAGAGAATCAAAGCACCATAGAGATGCCAGACAGAGTTCTAAGAGCAAGGCTCAGAAAATTCCCTCAGTGCCTTCTCCAGGAGGCAGGAGAAGGAGACACGTTCAGGGGCGTCAAGCTGTTGGTCAGGACAGCCAGGTTTGCCCGGAAGCATGGAAACTAAGATACGGGCTGAGAATGGCCTGAGATTGACTGGGAGGCACCATCCCCCAAACCAGATACTACATGAGATTTCTGGTAACTAGTGACTAGTACGTGGCTAGAGGAAACGCCATCTTCCAACCTGTTTGAGCCAGAGCTTAACAGAGCAGTGAACATTTGCTGAAGACCTGTGAGCCATTTCTACTAAAGTGCTCAGTAAACACTTTGGCAGGCAATATCAAATTTTCTCTTCCCAACAATCCAGTGAGTAATTATTGGGCAACCATGTACAGTTGTGCAGGGCATGCACTGCACAAAGGGGATGCCATTCACTCTCACCTTTGCACATGATATATATTTATTACAACGGCTTTCCAGCAGATGGCAGTAGAGTGTCTTGTTTTAATGACATCAGTCTATAATGACGAATTTCCAACATGGAAGAAGTAAGGTGACTTGAGGAAGGCGTGCCTTTTGCTGATTTTGCAAGGGCACAGAATGGGCTAGCAGTGACCCTGGCTGTGACTATCCTTCCCATTCACAGGTGGGCACACTGAAGTTCAGAGAGGTGGGGTCCCTGGCTCAGGGCCACAGCGCTGGTTAGAGGGGAAGTCAGCGTTCAAGCCTGGGACTGTCTAACCATAGCCTGGGCTTCCAGCCATTGTAATGGGGCTCCTCGGAGTTTGGGAAACACGTGACCCAACAAGAAGCGGAACAGAGCACGGGTGATTTCTTCATGTGATGGTTTATTGGTGGAACTCTGGAAAGGACTAGAGAGGCCTGGTCAGAGCATAAACTCTGCTTTGGGTCTTTATGCCTGATAACAGACATAGCACTAACTTCTGACATAAAGGATCTTCCAAATCGTCGTGGAGAAAACTCACTTAGACGCTCGTTTGGACTCAATTCCATAGCATCCGTATTCTGCTTGTGCTAGAATTTGCTGACATCATGCTTTACTGCATCAGACTTGCAGGCATGCCTTGAGGATCTGAAAGCGTTTTCATCCTGCAAGCACACAGTGTGTCCTCGTTACATAATATTGTGGTTAATAAGAGTAGGGGCTCTGATTTGGCTTTGACCTCCCACCTCTTCTGCTTACAGCTCTCCTAACCTTGAGCAATTAATCTATGCCCTCTGAGCCTCAGTTTCCACATCTGTGAAATGGGATAATCACAGTCCCTCCTGCGGGAGAAGTGAGATAATACAAGCCAAGTGTTCAGCCAGTGTGATTTGTAAAATGTGTTGATCTGCCCGTGGTTGAATCTTTCGCTTTCCTCTGTGTGCCGAGTGGATGGATCTCAGACCAAAACCTATATAGCCCAGCACACAGGTTTGAGCACTTGGGGGCATTTTTACACGCTTCCGGTCACCAGGGCTTCCTGGAAGGGTCTCTTGTTTGGGGACATGCTGTCATCCCTTTTTTCAGTCCTATTTTTCTTCTGCCTGCAGCTGGAGATGGGGGGATTGTTGGGAGTGGGGGCACCTGGATGATTTGTGCAGCTGTGGCTATCTTGGGTTCCCTTATGGCGAAAGAACATGAGAGAGAGAAAGAGAGAGAAAGCGAGAGAATGAGAGAAGGTGGAAGGTGGAGATGGTCAATCCAGAAACTCTCACGAAGCCCTAAATTTCTTTTGCAAATGATGACTTTAATAATTCAAGCCCCGCAGACTCGGCTGAGAAAGGCAAAGTGCCACCTCATTCGGCACCTTGGTGACATTTGGAATTTAGAAGCCTGTCCTCTCACTTCAGCCTGATGATGTCACCAGAAACCGACGGTGGAATTTCCACATCCCGCCCCCACCACCACCACCACCACTACCACCAAAATAAAGTTATTAAGGACGCTGGGGAACTTACAATTTTTTAACATTTATTATATAATTGTTATGATTATTACCACTCTAATTTATTTCCCTACTTAAAAATGTTCTGGCAACTGTAACTCATTTTAGGCCAATCCTTGCAAACCAGGAGACCTGGGGTTATTTAGAGAGAGAGCGTTTAGCCAGGTGCGTGAGTCTCAAATTTCCTCAAAATTGCTGCAGGGCC